AATGCAAATAGTTGCATTAGATGTGCAGAATATAGCGCATCGTATCGATCACAGCCTGGACACGAAAATCCTGTTGCGACAGACTTTATATCAGCCAAACAATTTAACTCAATTTGCCCTGATGACAAAAAATCTGCTTAAAAAAAAACCATGTATTGTTTTCATTTCATCATTTTTCCCCAATTTTTAAAGGATTAAAATGTAAGAAAAACCATTTGGATGACCACACTAAATCTTTACAAAGGGTGTCAGTGTAAAGGGGAGATAGATATAGATCAGTCATTTATATGCAGATTTTTATTTGGTAAATTATTTTCTTATAATTTTTGCATGTCTTCTCCTATAGTATATAGTAGTCTAAAACAATTATCGTTTATTGAAATAATTGTCAATTAATTTAGTAATTAATTAATCGTTAACTGGAGTATAAAGACTGTAAAAAAGCCCTTAAGCGAAAAAACAAACCAATTAAAACAGGAAATAAAACAAAAATGGAAAAAAAATTAAAAAAAATTCAAAATAAAAAAAAAACTCCACCTCTCGCCACTATAGAGAAAAACCCACAGTCGCGAAAAAAAATCCTCCTTAAGGAACCTTTGCCATCCGATAATTTTTAATCAAAAAATAATCGACAGATTAATCAATTTGCAAAATAATCGGTAGTTGCAGCCCTTGTTCATGCTGAACATACGGTTTAATGTAACTAGATTTCAAATCCTTTAAATGAATAATCAATGAATACAAAGTTATATCAAATGAATCTAAAACAATAGCTCACTCTATTCTTTATATAATCTGTTCCTTTGTCAAACTGCTCTGTGATCACAGACTGACCAGCAGGAATTTGCACATTTCAGAGGGCGATTAAAAGCCTGTTTGTATATATCTGCTGCCAGGAAATCGGCTCTCTTCAGGGGAAACTAGCTGCTGAATCTGGGTCACAGGACGAAGGGTCAGTGTCTGCTGTGGGGCGCTGCATATAAGTCTCTGTGGGTTGTTTTTTTTCCCAATTGCCAGGACAGCATGCATCTATATGCATCCCCTTTACTCTGACGCCACTAATTATCCAGAGCAATCAGTTGATTCAAATTAAATGTATGGATTAAGTCAGTATTAATGCAGCCAAACTGAGAAGATAAACAGTTTAAGGTGATGAAATGATACCTTAATATAAGAAGAACTTTTCAATCGTCTATGAATGGAAAAAAAACAAAAAAAACAGTACAGCTTCAATTAATGAAACCAGATTTTTCAGGAGTGTCACCAGAATGGTTGACAATTAGGAGGGCCACTTATTTAGATGATCAACCTGGAAATAAAAGATCGTCCTCTATACCTTTAAGAAGCACCATGTTTTATTTTGCTTTACATAGAAAACCCTTGTGTTAATACACTATATGGACTTACAATAAAATACACTGATGTTTGTCCATACGGAGTAAAGAATCTGTTTGTATTGTGAGCTGGGTACACACCAGGAAGTTATTTCATGTCTTTTGTTGTCATATTTTGACCTAAATGTTTTGCCGTATCTACAGGTGTGTACACAGGTTACAACACGCTGAGTATGGCGCTGGCTTTGCCCGAAGACGGAGTGATTGTAGCATGTGACATCAGTGAAGAGTACACCAACATCGGTAAACCTTTCTGGAAGGAGGTACAGTGATCCTCCATTCTGATAAAAACAACTATATGTTTTTCATTTAGAAAGGTGCGGCTGCTGGAAGAAAGCAAAACCAAAGTTTCCTTTTTTGTTTCTTTTCGAAAAGAAGTCAATTTAAAACTGAAGTAAATACAGGAAATTTTTAAGCAAAACCAAATATAAGGCAATGTTTTTCAGATTAGATGAATAACTTTTGGAATATTTTTTCTGATTTCAATAAATTATGCTGAGGTTATTTCTTTTTTGTTAGTTTTTTTTACAGTAAGGAAGAAAAAACAACCTAGTTAAAAATCTGTCAAATAATTATTTTTTTTTATATTTATTTGAAGAAACTTTGATGTTTGAGTTATAGCATATCCTTTGGCTTAGTAACACATTTTTATTTATTGAATAACAGGCCTTAAAGGTGAGATTCTCCCTCTATATTCAGTGCATATTTTTAAGTTTTGTTTATATTGCATTTTTGAAGTTTCAGGTTCATCTAAAGGAATGAAATTAATGATATTCAGTGATACACTTAGTGTTTTTTTTTATATCTGTTGATTTTGATGATTGGGTTACAGCTAAAAAGTTTTACTTAGACCTGCTGACAGTTTTCCAGCAGGTCAACACCTCCCTCTAGAAACAGAAGACACTGTGTCCAAAGGTCAATTAATGGGATTTTTTTTTTATTGCTGTAAACTATAATATATATACAATTTAAAATGGCAATCTGTGGGATATAATGAGTTTCCATTTTAATTGATTCACTTGGACAAATATATTTTTCAATTAGAATCTTTTCACCCATACTTGTAAACAAAATTGTAAATAAAAAACACCCTAATTCAAAGCTTCTGATTAACTCATTTTTTGTATTTATCTTTGTCTTTTTTCCTATAGGCTGGAGTTGAGCACAAAATAGACCTGCGCATTCAACCAGCCATAAACACTCTGGGTACAGTACTTTATATATACAGTAGCTAACATTTATAAATTGGACAGTAATTGTACTTGAGATGTTACAAAAATCACTGAAGGATTGTTTTCAACTTAATTTCCACAGTACAAGAGGTCTTTACGTCATTTATGGTATTTTTCATTGTTATTTGTTGAAATAAGCAGAACCGTAAAAGTACAACAAAGGCTTGTTTGAGTGGAGGATGAGATGTGGGCGCCCCAATAAGTAACTCATGCCTGTTTTAACTGTGGTTAAATAGAAGTTTGATGCATATCTTTATAAAACAGAAACTTGTTGGAAAAGGGAAGCACTTATTCTGTTTGACTCCTGCTTAACATGGCTACAAATGGGTTGGTTCCTAAAAACAGACTAAATTTGCTCTAAGTAGCCTCTTGATTTTTAGTCATCTTAAAACAAATGCATGTTACGGTAACTCTAAATATATGTGGTTGGCATGCCTGTTTATAACTATTACAAACATTACAGTTTCTATGATGTATCTAATAATCATTGTATTTATTAGGAGAGTATGGCATACGCTTCAGGGGGAAACCACTAATTAGTTTCCTTTAATTGACATTAGAGAACAAATTAGGGGGTGTCTTTATTGAGTTTAGGAGCAGCCTGTTAATGAGCTTTCCTGCAGCAGCCCTTTAGAGAAAAGGATCAGTTCAAAATTATTGTGCATATCATCCATCTTTGTTCTAAGGTAATGAAAGAAGTGAAAACAGTGGTTTAACCCAAAATGGCAACCTAGAGGTTTTAGCAACTCTAATTGGTATATCGACTGTAGTTTCTTTCATATTACTGTAAGATAAAAAGAAAACTGGATTAATTTCTCGCTTTTTGCTTCATACTGGTTTTTAATTTCAGATTATACTTCGATAATAGAACACAATATACCATTAATTGAGAGATCTTTCACCTTCCAGGGCCTCTGTCAATAAATGGTTTACACAGAACTAAACTGTTTCTGAAGTACATATATAATGTCCTTAATAAGAGGGCTTTTCTTTAACAGTCTGTCAAACATTTTTCATTTAAATTAGAACCTTGAAATGTGTAGGAACTGTTCCACAAAACAATCAACGTGCAAAGGGCCTGATCCCTGTACTGCACTTATTGAGGTTTGTTTTCAGATGCTTGGTGAGATTTGAGCCAAAGTCAGGAGCTCTAGCTTCAAAATCTGATTCCAAATCCACGGCTATTATGGCTTCTCCATAAAGGGCCACCATGATGATCAGCCAACACATTCATCCCACAGATGTGTTTTGGTTGCTCAAAGCAGTTTCTCATAATGGGAGTTGCAGGGTCTCCTTGATGCATTCAAGAATAAGTTTATTAAAGCAGTCACAACCAAAAAATGACAGCAAGCAGTTCAGGCTACTGTCTTGTACGGAAGAGGATTTGGGCCACTTAAAAAAAAAAAAGTTTACAGATTTTAAGATTTTATTTCAGTATGAGAAAAAAAAAATTCGAAGAGAATTCCGACTTTAATCTCAGAATTCTGACTTTTTTTCTCAGAATTCTTACTTTTTTCTTTAATTCCGACTTTCTCAAAATCACGACTTTAATCTCGGAATTCTGATTTTTTTTCCCCCATATGAAGCTGAAATAAAATTAAAAAAAATATTTTTTTTTTTTCGGTGGTCCTAATCCTCTTCCTTATTCATGTCTTCTCTCCCAATATCACTATGGTCTATGTTACATATTAAAATAAGATTTAAGCCTTCAGCTGCAAATCTAAAAAAATTTTTCCCCTTTCCATTGTTTTTACAGATGATCTTCTTTCCTCCGGTCAGGCTGAAACATTTGACTTTATCTTCATTGATGCAGACAAAGTTAACTACGACAATTACTATGAAAAATCTCTGCTCCTGTTAAGGAAAGGAGGCATCATCGCTATCGACAATGTGAGATTCTGACCTGAATTAGATTTGTTTTTTCTATAATGTAGATCATGAATAACACATTTTTTGTGGCGTTCAGGTGCTGTGGGGCGGGAGGGTGCTGAATCCCTCTCCCAACGATGCCGACACTGTTGCCATCGACAAGCTGAACAAAAAGCTGCACAGAGATATCCGGGTCACTTTGAGCATGCTGACGGTGGGAGACGGGCTGACGCTGGCAGTCAAACTTTAAGCTTTGGTCAATATTTATGAAAACATAACCTAAGTGTAACATCAGAGCATTTTTTTTTTAATAAGCCGTCATGTATAGAAGATATGAGGTGGAAGTTATACATTTTAGATTTTCCTCGGTATCAGGTGTAGTTACTGCCTAAAAACAATATTTTCACATAAGTTTTAAGACCTAAAAACTGTTGAGTTTCTTTTACTGCCTCCGGATGAACTTGACATGTGATACATTTCTTCTTCATTACACCAAGTTGCCTAAATATGTATTGTAATAAAAACTTAATGAGAAAATGGGTGGATTTCAGGACTTTATTTTGAAGGTAGACACACGCCAACATACAGACCGCTCTTGCATAATTAGTGTTGCAGCCTCTAAACTGGGAAAGAAGTGGTTTCATTCCGTTTCCTGTCATTTATTTCAATGTATTCAGCACTGTCGAGCAAAAAAAGGGAGAACTCAGATGTCTAAAAACTGTGATATAGCACAATAAATCTATTGGAAATATAAGTGAGGAGCAGCAACTTCCACCAGGCAGTAGAACACTACCAGAAGATCACCAAAATATGCAAAGAGAATGCTTAAGAGATTAAATAAAAGTAAAATCTACTGTGCAAAATAACAGTTGTACATTCTACATGAACACATTTCAGCAGAATATAAAGGTTTTGAAACCACTCCCGGATTGTCAAACATAATTAAGCAGGTTGTAAGGAGGAGAAATTAGCAAAGGAGGGGCGGGTGGGGGGGCTGATAAATAAATACATGTGGCTGAATCACAATGACAGGAGGTTGGTGGAAATGTCCGTTTCCATCTCATTGGTGCCTGTATATTGGGATTCTACTTTGTTTGGCCTCGTGGTTAAAATATCAGTCGCAGAATCTGCAGATATTCTTCTGATACATTGAAGCGAATCTTTACGCCTCCAGTTCTAGGCCCAGACCCAGCTTGTGACCACCGGCATTGATGTTCTTCCCATCCACTAAAGCAGAGAGGGTGAGCTTCATTCCTGTAAAGGGGGTTCCAAAAAAATGACAGTTTATTTTTAAAGTGCTTTTTATTTAATCTTTTTCTTGCTTTGAAATGGTTCTTACCAGGCCGCAAAGTCTGGGTGTATCCAATCCCTACCAAGCTGGAATTATTCACCTTAGCCTGAAGGAAAAGCAACAAATTGACATGATTTATTTAAAATGAAGATAAAACTGTTCAATCTCAGATTAGAATATCACTGAGAAGTTTTTTTGCTTCTAAATATGCCAGTGTAAATTCTCAGTCATCTGGGTCATGAGAGCCACAAAATGGGCTTTATAATGGAAATTTGGCCCCAATACTCGAGTAGAACAAAGGCTGGCCATTTGATTTGAATCTGAATGGGAATGTGTGCAGAAGTTTGGTCCTCTATGCTAAGCCTGTTTTTGGCTGCTTCCAATTAGTGCATTGATTATGGTTTGGAGCTGAACCCCCCCCCCCCCCCCAAAACTTAGTTCAGGGTTTATATAGGAATGAGTAACTCTTATTTAATGCTCTTAAAAATAATTTTAATGACATCAACAAGTACTCATGACCCTCATTTATACACGGCAAAATCTTTCCATGTCCCGAATTCCTCATTTTCCAGCCAGTTTTGTGGAAATTTACAATTTCCCATTCTCAAGCTTTTTCTCCGCCTCGACCTTCTTTCCCGAACAAATGGCTTTATGATCAACCGGAAGCCATTCCACGCAAATATATTGTGATATATTTGACGAAATATTTTTATAACATTTTTTTTTTTAATAAGGCATTTTAAACGCCACGATAATCACATTTGATGAGTTTTAATGCCAATTAAGGCCTTAATTTAAAAAATAATAATTTAATGACTTAATGATTTTTAATGACTTGTAGAAACCCTGCAGTTAATGGTAGAGTGGAGGACATTCTTTTCCTGTGTGGATCATCAAAATAAATGCTCAATCATTCTGTTGTCAATCAATCTGGTGATATATACCGTACATTCTGGTGATGTAAAGCCGTCCTATGTGCTCGCCCTATTTTCATTTACCGGTGGTGAGTCTGACATAGTGGAAAAATTGAAAATCTTAGGGAAGTAAGAAGGTAGGAGAAATGCAAGCAGCAACTTTTAAACTGAGCATGCACAAGGAGAAATGGGCTTGTGCATGCTCTTGCACGCGTATAATAGGCGTTTCCTCACGGGAGCAGGTACAGGGTTGTGCAAGTGCATTTTCTTTTTAAAGTGAAGAGGGCAGGTCTAAAGGCTGCAGCTATCCCTGTTCAATTTCCACCTTATTTTCTGTCACATGTTTTCCTTCCATTAACAAACCTGTTTTGTTTTTTTTAACAGTAACCTGTCTTTTATATCAATGACAACTGTCAATTCGATAGGGGTCTGGCAGCAGACCTGCGCCGTCAGGGCCCTGTGCCTTTTCCCTACTTTTCCCCACTAAAAGACCAAGAAAACAATGTTTTATAATGTTTTTAGGTTATTTTACCTATTAAAGCATTGTGTCTCTTACAGAAGGATATTTTAATGTGACTCCCGCTGGCACTTCGGCAAAAGTTAAAGGCTACACGTCTCACTGTGAAATCTTCTGTTTCGACAATAAAAACGCTTCCAAGCTTTTTTGTGTCTACCGTTTTCTCCGGTGTCGTGGAAATAACAGTTGTTATTGGCTATTTTAATCATGGCATTCAATAATTCACTGTTAGTATGCAAAGCTAATTTGAAATCAAACACCCTCCATTGGCAAATCGATGTAGTCCAACAGCAAATGTAGGAACATAGCACAAAGAAAACTAAAAGAATATCTAATATAATACAGTGTTTATCCAGGAATGAATAATTAAAATTTAATGCTTTTTAATGCGCTTATAAATAATTTTAATGCCACCAACAGGTACCCGTCGACAGGCTGCAGCCATGTCCCGAATTCCTCGTTTTCCAACCACTTTCGTTGAAATTTGCTCCCCCCCCCCATTCTCTAGCTTTTTCTCCGACTCAAGCTTCTTTTCTGAACATACAGCTTTGCGATCAACCGGAAGCAGTTCCACGCAAATATATAATCGCGATATAATATGTCTGACAAAATAGTTTTTATTAAACATTTTTTTGTAATAAAGCATTTTAAATGCCACAATAAACACATTTAATAAATCTTAATGCCAATTAGGGCCTTAATTTAGAAAATAATAATTTAATGACTCAATGATTTTTAATGACCCGCAGGAACCCTGTAATACCTGCAAAGACACATAAGAGATGTCTCCATAAAATAACTGTTAAATTGGTTATTTTGATATTTTCTTATGTTTTTTTTTAACCATATCAAGTTAAAAATGGAAATAGATATATATTTATAAAATCAAACACGGGAATCTCAAATATTTCCATTATACTACCTTTTATTTTACTTTTACTTTCACTTTTACTTTGAAAGGCTTCAAATAAAGTTCCTGCTCTGACTGAAGGTTTAGAGCTAGACTCTCTTGGCCGTTACTGGCAGCCCATTAACATGATACGATTTCACAGGAAAGTTCAGATTTTCCAACTTTAGAGGTCACCACTCCTCTCTCTCCATGCAGTGCTGCTGCTTGACAACACCTCCGTTTTATTTAGTAGCAACAAGTGAGAGGAGAGTAGTGAACGCTCTCACCACGTGGGATTCACAACTGGCTGCTTCCCTGTGTGGGCAGCATGGGGATACTATGTAATTCCAACACTGCGCTTAGTTTGAATGCACCTTAGAGAATCAGATATAAATGTGTTTGTATAAAAAAATACAAAGTGATATCATCTTTGTGACTTTTATCAACAGAATTGTATCGCTCTGTAATTAATCTATACCAGGATTTCCAGTTTTGAACTCAAATCAAATAGGTTTTCAACTATATTTTAACTTGAGATCTATATGAAATGGTTCACTTACTGATATGGAGGCACTGGAGTCTAACTGGTATTTTGCAGCAACTCCGAAACGGGTGGCGTTGCTGCCAGCGGTCCACGCCAGATTCACAGCCGTCTCCAGGTCTTTGTTAACCTTCTGATAAATGGATCCACCAAACTCTGCTCCATCATTGCTGTGTCACATTGAGACAAGAATGCATCATATAACTTAGTTTTAATCCTAAAATCTACACCTTAACAATTGGTAGCAGGTTAATATCACGTTTTAGAATAAAATACTCTTATTATGAGACCTACACATTGGTGTGAAGCTGGAAGTCCCCAGTCTTGTATCCGACAGCAAAGTTGCTTTGAGTCATCTTCGATTTGGCAGAGTCGAAGGTCATCTGGTAGCCAGCGAGCCATCCCTCGTATCCGGCCACCACCGCTCCATGGATAGTAGGACCTGCAAAGTCCAAGTCCACATCCACTCCAGCGTTGACGTATTCCCGTTTATATGCAGTCTTGACTTTGCCGCTTTTCTTCCTGTTGAAATTAAACAAAATATTAATACAGAGTCTGAGGAGAAACAAATGATGTGTATAAGGAGCAATTAAAGTCTAACTTGCCCAGTGTTGGGTGAAAACGTAGTTTCAAACTGAAGTTTCAGTCCTTGGGTGATCTGTATGAAGGAGAATCTACACATAAGTAATCATTTTGAATAGATGGGAAAAGCGCAATGGGGGCAACATTTTACAGTTTACCTTATCCTCAACACAGACTTCTGTTCCCAGAGTGTTTTCCGTGGTCCATTTCTCTGTAAAGGTCAGCCCATACTCTGCCAACTTATACTTGGTTTCCAGGGTGCCGGTGACTTTGCTGGTGTCTACATTTGATGAGCCAGATGTTTTAAATTCCTGCAAGGAGCATACGGGAACATTATTATAAGGCTGAGACGATGCATATTGGAAATTTAATTTATCTGTAAAGGCTGATAGACAAAGTTTAGATCTGAGAAAATCACATACAGCAGTTATTCTGAAATGAATTCAATCATATGCATAAGTAGCTTTTATTAAGCTGCAGAAGCTCATATGCCCTCAAGCGGCTCGGTGAAACTAAAAGTTAATAGAACAGTGCGATTTTATTATGATTACCCTTTACATATGCAGATGTTTCACTTGAGGGTTTCAGTTTTCTTGACCTTGTTGCAGGACTTTACAGTAAACTTTATGTGCAGAAGTTCCTACATCCTGCAACTGTCTTTTCTCTTCTGTGTAGTGGCAAATCAAGTTGAAGCATATTAATGCCACCTTTAAGACTGGAGGGAGAAATGTACTTTCCTGATTTATCTTTCTCTTGTTAAATGTAATGTGACTAAAATTGAGGGCCTCTGTGATTTGAAAATTGCATTGTGGTAAATTGCGATTATATTGCAATTTGCCAAAATAGTTTGCTAATTTGCAATTTTCTGGGATTGCAGCTTAGTCGATGAGTCGATGCAATCAACTGATTTTCCTTAGATAGAAAACTTTGAATGAATGTGACGGGATGATCTGATAAACTGTAAAGTGCTTTGACATGACGTGTGTTGTGAATTGGCGCTATATAAATAAACTGAATTTAATTTAATTATTGCAAATGCAATTAACTGCCCAGCCCGAATCCATACTGACTAGAGCCCGATCCATCTGGCACCTTTAGAATGAGGTAATCCCCAGTGCATCGCTAATTAGGACCCCTCAAAAGTCTATTGTTATAAAACTTGTCTTTTTCAGGGCATGCAGGTTGGACAGTGGTTAGGGTGCACGACCCATTTACAGAGGCCCAAGTCCTCGTCGCAGCCGACCCGGGTTCGGGTCCGACCTGTGGTTCTTTGCCGCATGTCTCTCCCCCTCTCTTGTGCCTCCTTTCCTGTCAGCCTACTGTCAAAAATTAGAGCCCCTACTGCTATAAAAACTCAAAAAAAACTTTAGTTTTTCAGGACATCAGAGTTTCTAACTTATTATTCAGGACTTCCTGTTCATTGGGTTGTAAATATGTCGAGACAAGGACCTCCTCTTCACCACAAGGCTGGACGGGAACCTAAATTTATCTTGCAACCATGCAGACTGAGCAGAACGGTGGGAGAAGTTAGACTCTCCAGAGCTCTTATTACTGCAGCAAGGACTAGCGTATTGGAGTCACTAAGAAACTATCACGGCTGACCTTCTACATGGCATATCTCAGACATACTTTCATTAGCCTTACCAAGATTTTTCTCAAATCTTCACAAAGGACTTAAACAGGCTTTATTGAATGTGTTGGGAAAAGGAGGACCTTTCAGCAGAACCTTTTGAGCTGATAGGACAAAGCGACACCAAATGCCCGCCTACCTAAGCCTGGTTTTAGCCAATCATGTTGACAAAACAAATAGCAGCAGTCAACATGAGAAATTACAACAAGTTATACTTTATATTCTTGCTATTCCTCTTTGAAAAATGAAATCATGGATTCTGACGTAATGGCAGCAGGTTTTGTTTCGGCTGTGGGCTAAATGTCCCGCCGAGCATAGTATGATAACGTGAGACGACAACCCGTTTGGGGTCAGACTCAAACTATTTAAGCTGGAGGGGCACATTTTGAACTCACATATACTGTAACAACTCAGACCCAGAGCTCTGGCTGTTCTAAAGATCACCAAAGATCCATCTCTCTGCATCTAGAAATCGCCACCAAATAATTGTTATTAACAGCAATGGGCAACCTTATGGAAAATATTGTATTTAGACAAATAAATATGTATTTAGTAACAAACTGTTTCTAATCAGCAAGAAAAGGACAATCAATGACTACAGCTTTAAACAGTGAATAAAAAATGCAGAGGATCATACTATGCTGTTCTGCCCCTTTTAATTTAAAAGACCATAAATTATTAATGGCAAATCTTATGGATTTGATGATTTAGCTTACACACTGTTTAAAAGATACTTCACTAGTAGGACTCATGCTGTTTGTTCAATGACAGGGTAGAAGTCCAGGACCTTTATTTATAAAATTTGTCACTGTTGAATGGAGAGAAATAAACAAACGAGTGTTAAAATATATATTAAAAACACTTTGTATAGTGCTGGGTTCTAACCATGCGATCAATCTGAATCCTTACATCCAAAATAAAGGATAACAATTGCATGAAACTGAGCTTTTAAAAATTATTTATCCTAATTGAAACACATAACAAGGTAATTCGCTCAAAATCTAACAAGCAAAATAAGAAAATATTTTTGTACAACATTTATAACTATTATTAAAACTTGACTAATGTCCAAATATGTGATCCAATATCATCATGGACAACATAAGAAATTTACAATTAACATTGCACTTGCTCTATATTAATGCTTCAGAAACTAAAGTGCTTATTGGTTCATAATGTTTGTCTTTGGAGTGTTTCTGTCACTAATCATCTTTTGACCTATTGTTTTAGCTAAAGTAGAATCTAATCACATAAGAAGAAAATGTGTCCAAAGTGGGATGTATCAGTAGAATCTACCTTCCTAATAACTGATTTTGATTAATCCTTTTAAATTTGAGATTTAGTAGATTTGAAGTGTAGATGCTATGATTCTGCTCTAGTCTGTTCCAGAGAAAATGCTTTCTTATTATTTTTTCATGTATGCTGTAAATGTATTCCTTTTCTGCAACTATGACTATTGAAGGGGTATTTGTGAGCTGTGAATTGTTCACAGAACATCCGGCTTTATTTAATTATACTATATTTTTTCTTTTATGAGCTCCTGATTTTATGTAACCTAATAGTTTATTAGTTTATTATTTTACGGACTCCAGATAAAATAGCAGCAAGGTCCCAACAACAAAATAGAATTACAGTAATAATTAATCTTACCACTCCGTTTGAAGACTTGGTCTTCACATCAAGCTTTACCATCCCGAACCCTGCAAAGATACAGACATTGAGCAGCTACATACAACACATGCGTCCTGAAAAGATGCTTTTCTTGCTTTTAGTTACCATATCCTTTGTTGAAGATATCCTTTGCTGATTTTCCCAGGTCTGCATAAGCTGGAGGAACTGCCATGATGTCTGTAGGAAAAGAGTTTTAGAATTACATGTACATACAAATAATAAATGACAAACATCATTTATTGAGAAACGGATTATCGAATATAAAATCACAATCTGAGAATAAATTTGTTCAAATATTCCCTTTAACGCTGGTATCCTGTGTTTATTTAATGTGATATTTTCTTTCAAACAGGATTTGGCTCAGCCCCTTTTACAGTATATACATGAGCTGCATCATTTCTATCGTTTAGTTCGGTGTTTAAGTTTATGAAATTGAGACGTGTCAGGGTGAAGGCTCTTAAAGGAATAGTACACCCAAAACATGATTAGCCTTCATTTTCTACTCACCCCCATGCTGAACAACAC